TCTCTGTGTGTGTGTGTGTGTGTGTGTGTGTGTGTATGTGTGTGTTTCCCTGAAGGTGGAGTTACAGTGTGTAAGGAGTCTTGTAATCAGGCAGGCCAGAAAGATTAAAGGAAAGGGAGCGTAGGCCCACTATGCAGCCAGCCATTGTAGATAAGAGTGAGAATGTGTGGAGTGTGGCAAAGTGTGATTAGCATGATTTAGCGAACTATTTAAGGACCAGCTCAGAACTAGGAATTTTAGAGTGTACCACCACTCTATGTCCTGGAGCTCTCCTCCGCTAACCTGAGACAACCAGTCCATCAAGCTGAGTGCTGCCGGTTCTGAGCCCAATTCAGGACACGGGGCCCTCAGGAGACTCGCCGGCCTGAATCCAGAGGAGCGGAAGTCTGGAGCCTGAACCTTCGGGCTGCTGCAGGAGAGGTACCCCCTGCTGTGAGCCTATTGTTTGTGGTTCTTAGGATTGTTTGCTTATGCTTGTGTGTTGCTTTGATGTAAGTGAGAAGTAAAATTTATATACTCAAAACCAACTCTGAGTTTGTCATTCCTCCCAGGTCAAAACCTGGTAACGGCTTGAGACACAATGGCTGTGAGCCACCAAACATGGGTGCTGGAAAATAAACTCTTAAGTTATCTGCAAGAACACAGGGCTCTTAACTACTGAGTTAGCACTCCAGTTCCAGTACCATTTATGGTCTTGGTAATTTCATCGGTGTTTAGCATTGCCATGTAACTACTTACCAAGACACAAAGTTTTTAGATATACTAAAGCATCATTTCAGCATGACTGTGGAAATAAATTTCTGATATCATAGCACTCTGGAGGGCTGAAGCAAGGGGCATATTCAAGGAAGCCTTCACTATATAACAACTCAATAAGCAAAAACTACAAAACAAGAAATCTACTATTGATGTTGTACACAGCTAAGGATGCCCCCCCCCACACACACACAAAATAGGAATTGAAAACCAGGAGGAAATTGTGACACAAGTAAATTTTCAAGAGATAGAATAAATTAATGAATTATATATCCTGGAAAGAGGAGATGGCATATGGAACCTACCTGTGGTGACATATTGTTTATGATTTAATAAAAATTGCCTGAACTATCAGTTTTCAAAGCCAGCCACACTAGTTAGTTGTAGAAGCTAGGCAGTGGTGGCACACACCTTTAATCCCAGGACTCAGGAGATAGGCAGATGGATCTCTGAATTCAGGGCCACCCTGGCCTACACAAAAGTGAAGAGTAACAGAGCTCATGCCTTTAAACCCAGCACTAGGGAGGTGGAGACAGGAGGATATGACTGGGCGGAGTAAGGAATAAAAGGAGGAGGAGACAGGAAGTGAGAGCTTTTGCCTCTGAGGATTCATGGAGACAGGATTGCCATTTCAGCTGGGTAGAGGTAAGATCTACTGGCTCGATTGCTTTGCTTCTCTGATCTTCAGCTTGAAGCTTGAACCCCTAAATCTGCCTCTAGGTTTTTATTAATTCATGTTACACCTACCAATTTTCCAGATTACATACAAATACATACACTTTCCACAAGTCACCATGGTGGAAATCACCATCAATCTACCTAGACCCAGTTTCTATAGCTGATGTGTGATGGCTAAACACATCTGTAAATCATGAGCAATTGCATGATTTGAAAACCTATTGTGTGACAGGCCTATCCTGCCAGACAACTAGGTAGGCTGCCCAAGGGCTTCATTTCTTCCTCAAACCTTCCATATGTGATCAAGTAGCCTCACCCCAGCAGCCTCCCCAACCCTGCTTGATCCAATCTCTTGTTGATCCCATTGATCTTTCCATTCCAACCTCCCTCATCCAACAAATTGCTTTGTTTTAGCCTTCAACCCAAGTAGGAACCCCCAGCTAACCCAAGTTACCTAGAAACACAACTGCTGAGCAGGTCAGAAAAACAGACACCACACAGCCATCTCATTTCCTGAAAATCCAGAGAAGAAACTAAGGTTTTCCTTTGGAGCAAGGGATTGTAATGTCCAGCTGTATAATGTATGCTCTGACAACAGAAGATTTAAAGAGAAAGACAATACTCAGGCAAATGTTGAGGAGTAAATATTCCCCAATCAGAGCCCCTTTTGAGGGCCTTACCCTGCCTGGGGAGTGGAGGGGGGATGGCTAGGGGCAGGGGGGATATTGGGGGGAGGGGAGGGAGAGGGAGAAGGGATTGACATCTGAAGCAAGCTTGTTCCTAATTTGAACTAATAAAATAAAAAAATGAATGAAAGAACAAACAAACAAACAAAATGCATTACTAGCTATTCTGGAAACTGTGAAGAACATTAATCAAGACTTTGGGAACTGTCATAAGCAAAGGAAATTTAAGGAAACATGACAAATGTTTCTTTTTTCTTTTCTTTTCTTTTCTTTTCTTTCTTTCTTTCTTTTTTTTTTTTTTTTTGAGACAGGGTTTCTCTGTGGCTTTGGAGACTGTCCTGGAACTAGCTCTTGTAGACCAGGCTGGTCTCGAACTCACAGAGATCCTCCTGCCTCTGCCTCCCAAGTGCTGGGCTTAAAGGCATGCACCACCAATGCCTGGCTTGTTTCTTGTTTCTTAAAAAAAACTATATATATGTATCAGGGGCTTACACTGTGGAGCTGGGAGTGGAGCTGGTAAAGAACAGTTGAGCCCTGGGAAGGGCAGCTTGGTGTCCTGCAGGCTGCAGGTCCAGGAAGAGCCATTTCCACCTCACTTCCCAAAGCTGTCATGTGGCCATGAACATTACAGCTTGCAACTGTTTCTTGTAATTTTTGCTCACAAAGAGTATTTTTTTCTCTTTCTCCATTTAATCATCTGCTGGCATCTACTAACTCTCACAGAAATTTGGGAGTGGAGACATTATTGTAACTCCTACATGTGAGCATACAAGGTGGGGAATTTTGGAAAGAGGGGGAAAACTTGGTTACTGTTAAGATACATATTTTGGTTTTATTTATGTCTATCTGTTTGTCAGCCTGAGAATGTTGTCTCCAAGGAAGACCCAAAGAAGGTGTCACATTCCTTGGCCTTGGAGTTACGGACATTTGGGAGCCGCATGACTTGGTTTCTAGAAGAATGAACACTCTTTATTGTAGAGTCATCTCTCTGTTCCCAAGACACAACATTTTGTATCATTTGTTTCCTTACTCTTGGCTATTTTGACTTGTGAAAGATTAATTCACAAAATAGATCTGTGTTATTGGCTACTACCTCATCCCTAAGTCTTGAGGGTTCCCATCCAACTCTATACCAAGTTCCTATGCTCAAACCCACCTGGGGACTTCTCCTACCTTTCAGTCTTGTTTCTCTCATTGGGGCATTGTTTAGAGTATATAGAGCAAACTGAAGGCAGTATCTTGGTGGAAAGGGGGATGGATGTCTTAACTTATTTGCTGTTGTTGTGGTAGAATATGACATTCTGGGTAACATATTCTGTGAACAAGCCACATGTGAACAAATCAAGTGTTGAAAATGTTCTTTCTGAAGGAGAGATGTCAAGCAATTCCCCCCAATGTCCCAACAACAAACCCAGACAGACTTCTGTCACAGTTCCCTCTGGGGATCCCAAGTGTTGATTGGATTCCTTAAAGCACAGAGGATAGGGATTATTTATGGGGGTTTTTGTCACTCTTCCCTCAGCTAACTGCACATGGAAAGCATGACCCAGAAAGGATCAGAGCTTCCCTGTAGCTACAGAGTCTCCCCCAACTTTCTTTGTTCTTCAGTACCTACATATACTCCATTCTTTCGGAAGATCAAGTTCATCTGGATCCTCCATTCCTCCATGTAGGGTTATAAATGCCCAACAAGCTCTACTGTGAAAATCTAATGCAAAGAAGCTTTCAGGAACTCCAGGATGGAGGTTGCTTAGGTGAGAGGACAGTCACTCATGACTGAGATGAGTCAAAACAGTCCCTCTAATATGAAGAACATCCATTATATACATGATTATATGTAGTTGGAAGCTCTGCTCCAGCCTTACTCTCCCACATTCCAAACCTACCCCTTCTCAGGAAGACTAACTACTAAGAGGCAGCTCCTTCCCTGGCTTCTAGACCTGCCACATGATTTTTCTCCTACTTTCTTCCCCCTGAGAATCACCAGGGGGTAATTTGCTCAGTTTATTATACCCTATCTTATTAATTCAGTGTGATTTAGATTACTGCATTGGCAGAGAAACTTAATATCTGGGTACAGAAACTTTTCAGATTAGAGACCAATTTGGCAGATGCCTGAAGAAAATATTTGTGACTTTTACTCTTTACTTCTGTTAAATGTTTAATGTGAATAGGATATGGAGAGATGACTCAGCAGTTCTCAGCACAGAATTCTCTTCCAGAGGAGCAGGGTAGATTCCTAGTGATAAACTTGAGATTTGGGAGGAGAAAAGACCAAGTCCATATATAATATTAAAGTACCCTGGGTGTACTTGGGACTGGCCAGCCTGCTGCCTCACGGTAAGTCAGGATTATTGAGAGAGCAGTCTCTTCTGCCTTCTTGAGGTCATATTGGGGAGCTAAGGTGTTCAGAGGGTCTAGAAGGATGGTGGTTTTACACTGTTAGGAGGCTACAATGAGAAGGGAAGGAAAAAAAGAAGTGAATGGGATTATAGTTTACATTGGACCTAAGGCACAGGAACTTACTCTTATTAGCAAAGACTGAACATTGAACAAGCAGATTTATTCTTTAACTAGGATTTAACACAGGACAGTGAGAACTTACTTTTAACTCTCTCACCTGCAAACAGAGCTCTTAACCTGAAAGGTATATTTTCTCCTGTTTTGGTCTCTCATGAACTTGTCAGGTATTTTTTGTATCTTGTCTCATATGCAGCACACACATCGTGGCTCACAATAGTCTGTGACTCCTGCTCCAGGGGATACAATCCCATGTGCTGTCCTCCTAGGGCAGTACACTTATGTAAAGTGTACTGATTTACATACAAGAAAAATATCCATAGTTGAACAATGAAATAAACCATTATGTGCACATGAATGACATTATCGCTCTAGTGAATATTATGGTGTTGAAGGAATTATTTCATGACCCTGGAAGCAATATCTGGAGTGATGAGGTCCCAATGTTAATCATTTAGTGTCTCTGCACCATCACTGGAGAATGACCATTGGGGGGCTCTGTGTGATCCTAAAGTTTGGAGTATTTACTCTAGTGAATGAAAACTTTCTTCATGACCTCGGGCAAGGAAAACCATGTCAAAGTCCAGGGTTGAATTTTATAACTCTGGATCCTCAGAGGAGTACTCCTGACATGTATGTCTGTTTTACCCATCCATTGAGGAAGTGTATCCCATTGCTGGTGTGCTTTATTTTTCTTGGCAGTAAGTAGATACATTGAAACATGAAGTGGGTAATAGTTATGAGTGTTTGCCTCATCCTTAATATTTGAGATTTCCTATCAAGCCTTGTATGTGGTGATTCCTGTGCTTGAATCTACCAGTGACATGCTCCTACCTAGAAAAATCTGTATTCTATCCTTTCCCTTCCCTTCCCTTCTCTTCCCTTCCTATCCCTTCCCTTTCTTTTAGGGCATGAGTTTAGAATGTACAAAGCAAACTGAGGGACTAAACTCAGGATTAGCACATAAATAATGCTCAAGACTTTGAGGGCTTCAGGTGAAGGCTGGTAACATAGAATAACAAAAAGTTTTCCAGGTTGTTAGACAACATCTGCTCCAGTCTTCTAGGTCAAAATGTATCATGCAAAGGCTCCCTCTCATGGCTTGGGCCTCAAGTTAGACAAGTCATCAGATGGCCACTCCCAAAAGCTCTGAGCCACATCTTGCAGGCAGGACAGTTGTCCATTGAAGCTTTTTGTGGCTGGGTTGATGTCTCAGGCCCACTACTGGAGTCCTTGTCTGGTTACAGAAGATAACTGGTTCTATCTCCATATCTTCCATTAATATGAGTCCTCACTAGGGTCACCTTCATATGTTCCAGAGAATTTACACTGCACCAGGTTTCCATATCATCCATAATTGCCCCCATATTCCAGTCATTTCTCCCTGTTACCCTCACTCCCCACCAGTCATCTGTAAACTTTTAAAGAAAAAATAGTGACTGGAAGAGAGGCAATGGTTAAATTTATTGCCTCCACTGCCAGTCTGATTAATATAGGTGAACTTAAGAGAATAATAATAATAGCTAACAGAACACCAATGAAAGGGAAAAGACATTCTGGCCAAGATAGCCACTTAAAAGTCCTGCTTGGGAGTTTTCTATCTCTATGCAAATCATTAATTTGATTATCAATGGTATGGGGATAATCTGACACAGTACAGCAACACATGCTAGGAAATTGTTGACAACCAAGATTATGTTTGACTTACAAATAATCTATAGTAACTCTATTTGGTAAAACAGTGGTCCTAATTTATCCGTCTTTACTATAATATTACTAGTTGTAATAATCATACAAGCCATTTTTGAGACCTCTTTTGCATTCCAGTAACTATTTCTGGGATAGGCAATAAAAAGACATTGTGGGCTGCAACAGGATCTAATAGATGTAAAGAATCATCACAATTCTCAGAGAGAGCTCTCTTAACTCTATTGATTGATTGCAAAGATTTGCTGATCAAAATAGCTATAATATGACCTATTCTATATAAACCTTTATAACCAGCAGGAAGGGCATTATAAGTAGCATTTTCACACCAAAATGGTTCATTCCAAAGTCCACCAAAGGGAAGTGTGTGGTTTGAGGTGTCTATAAGGAGGGATATATGTATAGTCAAAGCATAAACAGTGTGATAGAAAATCAACATCGATGAGACCATCAGGGGAAACCCAATGAATACAAGCATGGGTGGATTCTATATTGCCCTTTGTCATTTGTGCATATCGATTATGAGTGACTCCTATTTCAAATAAATTTCCTTTTCAGAGCCCAGGAATAAACACATCTCCTCTGATACAAAAGGATTATTCCTGTGAACTGCCAAGTGCCAAATGAAGGCACAGGTAATTTTCCAGGTCTTTGAAGATAGAATTATTTAGGGGCCACAAATCAATTTTGGTAAGTAATACAAAGAATTATTGTAGGGGCCACAAATCAATTTTGGTAAGCAATACACCAGGTATTTCCCATACAGTCTTCACACAACTATAATTTCCACTATTAGACCTTTTTAAATAGTACTTACTTATACTAAAATACATATTATTGAATTTGTGATGATCAGTCAGATTAGTCCAATGAAATTATCCCCCATTCAGGTGCCTAAATATTTTACACCATCTTTTATCCAAATAACTTGACCTGAAAAATAAAGACAATTCTTATCATGATAAAACAATATCATACTCTCTCCTATCACATGTGTGGTTTTTATCCCCCTGGCAAAAGGAATTTGAATTCTGCATCAACAAGCAGAGAGTTAACCTGAAATACAGCCAGTAAACATAATAGCATCATTTTGGGTCAGCCATATTGTGTCCTTGCTGTGTCATTTGGCCTTGAACACAGCATGGCAGATTTATTTTCTTTATTTTCCCACATTTATTCCAAACATAAAGGCTTTCACTGGCGGGGGCAAAATTGAGTATAATAGGAACTATAGCTGCTAAAGGATTTGTCACATAGTTCCACATGTAAGACTGTCTCCAGGGTGAGTTCTTGAGACCATCATGACAGCAGCAACTGGTGAAGGATTTTGAACAATATTAAATGCATTCACTGGGTTTCTTGTCAGTGCAAATTCTTACATGAGGGTTACAGAAACTGGAGGTGGTCAAGGCTTTCCCACCATGATAAGGCTCCGCCCCAGTGTGAGGTCTTTTATGCTTGATAAAATGACAAGAACAAAGAAAGTTTCCCAAATGTTTACAAAGGGTTTCTCTCCATTGTGAATGTTTTAATTACTCTAGTGCCAAGTGGAACTAGTGAAGGCTTTCTCACAATACTAACAAGTGTTAGCATACTGACTAGCGTGAACTGTTTCATGTCTGTTATCAGCAGAACAGGTGAAGGCTTTCCAAATGCTTCCATGCATAAGGCCTGACTTTTGAGTGAACTATTTCATGCCTATTAAGATCACTACCATGAATTAACAGTTTCCCACATTTTACACTCAAAGGTTTTCTCTCCATTGGGATTTTTTTCATGCAAGTTAAGACAAGTAGAAATGTTGAAGATTTTTCCACAATGTTTACATGCATAAGACTTCTCTCAAGTGTGCTTTCTTTCATGTCTGTTACAACTAGTGGAGTCCCTAAAAGCTTTGCTGCAATGCTTGCATGCATAAGGCTTCTCTTCAGTATGAATTCTTCCTGAATGATGAGATCACTGAAAAATGTAAATGCTTTTCTACACGGTTTACATGCATAAGGTTTCTCTCCAGTGTGAACTCTTTCATGTCTTTTTTCAGGACTGGAGTCAATGAAGGCTTTTCCACAATGCCTATATGCATAAGGCTTCTCTCCAGTGTGCCTTCTTTCATGTTTGTTATGACTACTGGAGTGACTGAAAGCTTCTCCACAATGCTTACATGCATACAGCTTTTTGTGTGTGTGTGTGTGAACACTTTCATGTCGCTTACATGGAAAAGGTTTTTCTCCACTATGCTTACTTTCATGTCTGTTACAATTTCTGGAGTCACTGAAAGCTTTTCTGCAATGCTTGCATGCATAAGGCTTCACTCCAATGTGACTCAATTCATGTTCAATAGGACTCCTGGAGTGACTGAAGGCTTTCCCACAATGCTTACATGTATAAGGATTTCTTTCCACTGTGAATCCTTTCATGAACATTCAGATTACTGGAGCTGGTAAATTCTTTTCCACAATGCTTACAAGCGTAGGGCTTCCCTTCTATGTGAGTTACTTTATGACTTTCAAAACATTCTGCATATTTAAATGTTTTGCCACATTACCCTACAGTTGAACCTTTCCTGTACAATATGACTTTTTTCATGGTTGAAAGGTTTGATTGGAATAGGTGCATCGGCCCACAGAAACAGCTGACCTGAACAACGAGGAGCTCTTGGTCCTCAGATTGATAGTGGAAAACCAGCATGGGACTGATCTAGAACCCAAGAATGCGGGTTTCAGTGAGGAGACCTCAGAAATCTGTGGGGCCTCCTGTAGTAGATCAGTACTTATCCCTAGCATAGGTGTAGACTTTGGGAGCCCATTCCACATAGAGGGATACTCCCTGAGCCAAGACACACAGGGGTGGGCCTTGGCCCTATTGCAAAGGATATGACAGACTCTGAAGACCCCTCCTATGGAAGGCATCACCCTCCCTGGGGAACAGAAAGGATATGTGATAGGGTTTTAGCTGGGGGGGTGGTAGGGGAGGAGGGGAGGGAGAGGGAACTGGGATTGATATGTAAAACAATCTTATTTCTAATTCAAATAAAAAAACTGACAAAAATAAAAAACAACCAAACAAAAAGGAATAGGTCATCATATTGGGAGGAATCCAGTTGACAGTCATCCAAGGCTTGTAGCTTGGCAATCATTGTCTCCTTGAGAGATTGAAGCTTGTGAATCATATAAGATTCTAAGGATTTATTAGAATCGTTAATTTTCCTTGTTTCTTCATTTACATATGCTTCTAAACCTTTAATATTCTCGTCCTTAGATAGTAGCTGAATGGCTTGTAAATTGCCTTCTAAATATCCAAGCCTAGACTCCAGCTTTTGGCCTGTGGCAGTAGATTCATCAGACATGGAGCGAATTGTCTGTGCCAGTTCACTAATCCTGTCCTGGTTCCTAGGTATCTTTCTATTTAAGGCATCAGACATGGAGCAAATTTTGCTTTCTATTTGGTCATGAGTTTGTTCTACCTGTGTTAGTTATGTAGCATAGCCAGACTTAGCATCTTCAACTTCTTTACGTAAACGTTTCATGTCTTTCATTTCAGAGATCAAGTTTTCCTGGCTGGCTTTTATATCTTGCAACCAACTTTCTAAGCTGCCCACAATTTGTACAGGTTCTTTGTCCTTTTCCCTGTGTCTCAGTCCTCTGATTAGAGATATCACATGTGCTATGAAGCTGGCTGCTAACATAATATATAGGTATGTTACCAGCAAATCATAAGCCTCCTCTAACATCGAATTCACATAAGAAGCAAGAATATTCCCAGTGGTCCGCATTGTCAGATTATCTGCCATTGTTACAGAGTAATAAACCTTAGTTATTATTACCAGGTAAAATATAAGGCTTTAAAATATAAACCTTTCTATAGTTTGATTTTTAGCTCGTAGTAACTATGTTTGACCAGCAGATGGCGCCGGTGGCCGGTTATGCTGGCACAGGTGTGCCTCGGAAAAGATTTCAGCTGAGGATGGTTACGTTGTTCTCAAAACAATCTGAAAAATATCTGAATGGCTTTCGGACTGAGTTAGAATAGATGGAAGGGATGGGGTTTTGTCAAAAGGGAAGGGTTTTGGAAACCCACACCACAGTAGAAACCTCCAGGCACTGAGGCGGTATCCGGGCAGGATGGTGGCTGTGGTGGCGGAACAGAAGGGGAGGGACCTCAAGTTGGGAAAACCTGTGGAAATGCAGCTGGCAGAAGCTGTGCTCCAGCTGGGAGACAGACCCAGGGAGGTGGGGCAGAATTGTAAGATTGGAGCCTCCAGGGGACGGAGGTGGTGGCCTGCAGGGGTGGGGCCGATAAGGGATGAGGGAGCGGCAAGGGAGGGGAATACTGGGCAGACCTGATCCGGGAAAGGCCAGGGGGCGTAACCTCCTTCTGACACTAGATATTGATGATTACAAAGTGGAGTCAGAGATAGGTTAATAACTGGTAGTTTATTAGGAGAAAATACTCGCGCAAGGGAACCAGTGACCAGGTTTGCACCTAAGCAGGTCGGACCCAGAAATGCTTCCCAGTCAGCTCAGCCAAGCGAGAGAGAGCCCAGTGCTCGCCTCCCTCCTTTTTTTTTTTTTAAAAATTTATTTATTTATTATGTATACAATATTCTGCTTCCATGTATATCTGCACACCAGAAGAGGGCACCAGATCTCATAACAGATGGTTGTAAGCCACCATGTGGTTGCTGGGAATCGAACTCAGGACCTCTGGAAATACAGTCAGTGCTCTTGACCTCTGAGCCATTTCTCCAGCCCTGAATCTTAGTCTGTGTCTTTTTATTAAGAAATTGAGTTCATTGACACTGAGATATATCAACGACCAATAATTTATAATATCTTTTATTTTGTTGTTGGTGGTGTTGGTGGTAGTGTGTGTGTGTGTGTGTGTGTGTGTGTGTGTGTGTGTGTGATTTCTTCTGTTTTGCTGGTGTGAGATTTCTGACTATATGTGTTTTTGTAGGCATAGTTAGCTTTCCTGGGTTGGAGTTTTCCTTATATTACCTTTTTCTGTAGACTGTGTTTGTTGATAGATATAGTTTAAATTTGATTTTATCATGGAGTTATCTTGTTTTCTTCATCTATGATGATTAAAAGTTTTGCTGGGTATGATAGTCTAGTCTGACATTTGTAATATCCTAGATTCTGCAGGACATCTGTCTGGGCTATTATTGGCTATTAGACTATTTTGAGATGTCAGGTGTCATTCTAATCAGCCTGACTTTATATGTTATTTGCTCCTTTTCCTTTGCAGCTTTTGATACTCTTTATTTGTTCTGTATGTTTAGTGTTTTAGTTTCCATGTGGTGAGAGGACTTTGTTTTCTTGGTCAATCTTTTTTGGTGTTCTATAGGCATCTTATAGCTTTATGGGCACCACTTTCTTTAGCCTCAAGAAGCTTTATTCTGTGATTTCTTTTTTTTTAAATTTAAATTAGAAACAAGATTCTTTTACATGTCAATCTCAGTTGCCTCTCCCTCCTCTCCTCTCCTGCCCTCCACTGACCCCCTATCCTAATGCCTTTCTGCTCCCCAGGGAGGGTGAGGTCTTCCATGGGGGATCTTCAAAAGTCTGTCATATTATTTGGAGCAGGGTCTAGACCCTCCCCAGTGTGTCTAGGCTGAGAGTGTATCCCTCTATGTGGAGGGGGCTCCCAAAGTCCATTTGTGTTCAAGGGGTAAATACTGATCCACCATC